GATCAGAGACGCAGCCGCTGCCTGTTGAGGATCTTCTGAGAATCTGTGTTCGATTATACTTCCATCCGGAGCACTTTGCAGGTCTGATGGTAACATCAGGTTAGCAGTGCTGACCTACGTCAGATAGTTTTCGGGAAAGTTCACTCTCCATGGATAGTTCAGCTGGTCACACTCCACAGGTTACGCTGCTGTGGGCACGTGCTTCTTATGCCAGAGGACCATGTGGCTCGTAGAGCCCTTTCCACCCATGTTTGTGTTGGATGGAGATAACTAAGAAACGATCACTCGTTGACTTGGTAACCTTCGTCTCCCCGTATGGAAAAAGCGAGATCATAGAAACCAGTGGTTAGCGGCCTTAATAGATGTGTATTGCTGCCAATGGCAGTCATTCATCGAAGCTATTGCCTTCTCTGCGTGGCTCTCAATAGCTGTCACACCGGACAAGCAGAACGATTTGGCAACAGAACTTCAGTGAATGGCCTTTCATTCCCTTCTCATTTCCGCCTATCTTTGGTGAACTAAGCTGTAGTATCTAGAATTTGGTGTTCGGTTTGTGAGCTGAAAAACCGAACTGGACATGAGTTGAGATCTACTGTCTTTCACGGATGAGCTAAACTAAAAATCCAAATTCGGTTTAAGGCATGCCTGGAAAATGTGATTCACTTAAAGCTAGTCAAGTGCAGGACATTCCTAACTCGATTGTTTCGATCCCTGAGCATGTTTTCATAACTGGTTGATGCAGTTTCCACCACAAGTTGATCTAGCTAACTCCATGTCCACCCCTTGGTGTTTTCTGTATGGTGATGAGCTAGCTGTCGGCACTTCAAATCTGATCTAACTACTAGGGCTTCTGAAAAATTCAAGGATGTCAATATTCCTAATAGCATTCCGTGTGCAATACTGGGACGTCGAACTACCTCCAGGGGCCTCATTTGAATATCCAGAATGTAAGCATAGACATGAAACTTAGTATACAGATACTATAATGGCTTCTATCCAGCCTAATTAATTTGTTCATGCTCTCGCATTTACTCGGAATGTGGATAGATTCATGTGTGGAATGAACTGTGTGCCTTAGCCTCCACTACCTCTGGAAGCTGCGATATTGATCGAAGACTTTACGGACGCTCTCAGAGTTTTCGCGTACTAGCTGTGCTACCGTACTCTCGTAAAGACCTATACCCTATGGGTTGTAGACAAACAAAATGCTGCTGAAATCTGGTAAGAGCAATATGTAGGTAACGAGTAAGTTTATTCTCAAATGTACAGCAGGAACAACGTAGCATGCTCCATAATATCAGTATCAACGCCAACTTTGTTGGCCAGGACACGTTCCGTGAAATTCGACGTGCTCTTTTAATAAGCTAGAAACACCACACAGATCAAAAACAGCTTCACAAAATCAGTTGGAAACTACTACCGCGCCTTAGGTTTGCTTGCATCATTAGTGTTGACTTCAAAGAAAAGCTTCGATGACGTTTGCGCTGACTCTATCCAGGATGGATAACCTCACTTATCTGGTGCGGGAAACATCACGCGTCAAATTCCGTGAACATGTCTATGGAGCTAACCTATCTTTCTGCAGGATTCAGTTGGCGTGAGCTAAAATAAAGTAAGACAATCTCAGCACGAGCATGTGTCGACTCACCACAGGCACTTCAGTCTCATCCTTTTAGTAAGCGGCATTTCTTGAAGTTATCGAGTAGATGCACACCACAATATTCTGTTTAAGAAGCGTGTGCTCTTGGGACGAAATCCGATCTCATCTTGAAAACTCTCCTTAAAGGTACTAGCGTCTTCAGCGCATCATATTGGACACCAGATGGCACAAAGGAAGACGCGTTTAGGATTTCATATGACAATCTGATGTGGTAGCAACACTGGTCTCTTCCGAAGTGGTACTGGAGTGGGACTAACCTACAGCGACGAAAACGCCGCTCACTTGCCCTATCTACTGCCTTTTTTCGTTTTTCTCGTATCTCAGCTATTGTGACAGTTATGTGCAGCGTAACATTTGGATGATGGGAAAGTCTAAAACCTGTGCGTACCGAAACTATTCACCAGTTGTAAAGTGCTGAATACACTATCTTTTGCTCTTCTCCCGAACTATATCTCACTATGCGCGATGGATGGGACGTTAATATACACCACAGATCGATGGACCCAACTATATCCTCATTCGGTTACTTGGTAAGCAATGTGTCAACGTTAAAGGGATGAGTTCGTGCAAGTTTTATTACATTCATCGGTTCGTTGTCCGAGTCGTCATGCTAGCAGCGCATACGCTTCCTCTGTCACATTGGAGGTGTGCTGCTGGGTTGACTTTAGTACTCCTGCTTAGCTTAATAGATTTCGAATCCCGGGTGGCCGCATGTGCGACATAGTTCGAAGTTAGCCAAGTGGATAAGAAGAACCGCCCGATCGTGCTAGATTGCAAGGATACAATGGCGTGTTTGGGAGAGCACCTCACATGTGTAACCTGCATATCTGTCTCGATGTGATGTTGCTTAGACGATTCGGTGCAGGCGACCGATACGTCAAGTTGATGATAAACGGTTTCGCTGCTCACAAGGTTGCAACAATTCTGTCAGAAATGTCTCTCGAAAGAGACACGCACAAGCCATCCGTAACAAAGCAGTTGTCGCTCACAAAATCCCTTGAAAATAACGTCTATGAGTTCCGTTCTTAGGTAGTTTAACTAACCTGTTTTCAAGAGACCACTCTACAGGGCCTGTGTGGAAACGGATAGTCGTGAGGATTAGTTTGTATCGAACGAACCAACTGTATTTGCTCGACCAATTACACCTATTGGCTACGCATCGTAGTGGATGTTTTCGTCCCATACCACGTATTATGACGCTTCAGAACAACACAGAGCGCGGAAGGTTTCGTTCCCTTCCAAATTAAATTACCACTAGTCCTGTTATATCTGTTTGGTCGTCATCCAGTGTTCATTGGCGTAGGTGTGCCTCCACGATCAGCACACACATTAGAAACACTACAACTCTTAGTAGTCTTAGTCATCATGAATAACAAATGAACCAGTTTTGATTGTCATGAATCTGTTTTTCCTGTCCATCGTTTCCTTAACCACCCAACACTAGATGACTTGGCTGTTCGAGTCGACGACATTGAAAAACATATTGGTGAACTCATGACATCTGTTGATGCGGATTAAGTGATTTTCGGTCGGTTCAACGAGTTCCCTTTCGTCGTTTCATTATCGTCATAGTCCACGGACTGACTTATCTTTCATCTTATGTATGTGTTTTGACCGACGAGGATCACCTGACTTTTTATTTTCCCGTTCCGCGTTGCATCTGGGCTATATAGTGACCAGTTTCATTCGAATACCGCGCTCAGTTTCAGAATATAATATCCAAGACTACTATTCTTGTGTGCAGTTTTTTTGCGGGATAGGTATTTTTATTCGTAGTCACACCACTCTCGTTTGAGCGGTCGTCCTCCTGTTCTGGCGTAATTATTCTGGTGAGTCCTCACCAAAGGGATGCACTGGACTCGAGTTTCGCTCTTACTAGGGCTCATCAGCAGTGCATATCCAATGGCCGTGCCTGGGTTTGAACTCCTGACATCTGACATGCAAGGCGAACGCGTTTGCATTTGGAAGGGAACGTCCATGGATCCGACCATTCGGTAAAGTAGGAGGACATATTAGTCGTTGGCACAAGTACGACCTCATCCATCTAGGTAACCAGAGGGCACCAATAAACCAACCGAGGTCAAGTTACATTCCAACAAATATTTAAACGACCGTGTGAACCAGCTACTGAATCGCAAGCAAGTAGATAGTCTCAGTTAGTCAATAGAGCAAAGGAGTCCGCGTCTTCATCAAGAGGTACACATGTGGTGACTGTGACCTGCATCGACTGACACAAGATCAATTCAATTCAGCAATCCGCGCTACTGAGTGGAACTGTTGGGCTGACTGTGAGCAATGATCAAACAAGTGAGTCTGGGCACACCCGGTCGTACGAAGAAACGGCTGATTCGAAATATCGGTGCGTATCCCAGCCGGTCGCATTAAAAGCTCAAGACCTTTGTGCAGTCACCGAGTTTTATTCCTACGCGTTGTAGTGCGTCACCAAAAAAACTTGTTTCGTCAAGCTGGAAGCAATGAAATACTTGTACATCAGCAACGTCATGACGGCGATCCCTTGAGGCTGGGCTAGGTACTAGATTCAGCGCGCGGAGCAGTCGACTACCGAAAGTAAGGACAGGACAGAGACCCATACGTACGTACGTATTTTGGACTGGTCACTCTAACTGGTAGTCCATCGGGGAGGAAAGTGCATTGAGTTGTGAACACAATTCAGCCAGATTTACCAAAGATCTAGGTAAGAATGTTTTTCCAGGCAATACTAGTGAATCTTAACAGGCTAAACTTTATTACAGTCAAGGTGCAAATACTGTTCTTCAGGAAGGGAAGTACCATACATGTCTGGACTCGGTTTGGCGTCCAATTTTTTCTGTACTGCACGTCTTCGTTTCCTTCCAAAGCATCGATGCGGGATATTCCATTACTCGATTAGATGAGATGTCCGTTTGTCGTTCTATGGCGAGTTATTTATTTCTAGCGATTGTGAGCTAATGCAGATATTGTGAAAAACTAATCTTGGAACGCATGCTTTTACCCTGCCAGAACATGACGTGACCTGTTTTTCAAAACGATGTGTCTGAATGTAAACTCACTTAAACATGATTCTAATTGGATGTGGGCATTTAGCAAAGTAACAAAAAGAGGACTGGTTATAACGACGCTGTAAAACCATTGGTCAAGTACACTAGCTTTCTCGAGACGCCCTGCAAACTTAAATGATGGCGTGCTACATACCCATTTGGATGTCTCCGGACCTATTTGCCAGCCCGATGAACTACTCGCCGCGTTCACCTCGTAAGCCAAAAAGCTATGTAAACGCCGTAGTTATGTGCAGGCTCTGGCTGGGGTAATGTAGAACTGCAACTTCAATATGCAAGGAGTAGAGGAATTTCGTTCAACAACTGACATGTGCAAAGTGTAGGGAATGTAAGTTAAAAGAAGTGAAAGTGGCCCACATGTTCGTGCGTTGCAGCCCCTTTTCTCCGGGCGGAGACAGCAAAACCAAAGTGGAGTGAAAGAATGGTTGAATCCCAAGGCACAATCAAGTGTTAATAGACCATTTGCAAACCGGTCAACGAGTACAGTCTGGAAGATAGCTGTTCGTCTACCGAAGGCAGGATCTACCTGCACCACACAGCGATGAATCGAAGCTACACGAAATAAGGTTGCATCTCACACTCCGTGCAGCATGAGCGACAGACGACGCATGACAATGAGGAAGAGCGCAACTGCGACACCTGCAGCGCAAACCGTCGCTGCTCGATAATGCACGTTCACAGCAGTGCTCTCGACCCGCGATGAAGGTACAGGACTAGTAGCGCTTCGTGGCTCAGCAGAGACCGGACGACTTGAAGGAGTTACAGCATAACCATCTTCTGACGTTCGTCTGCGACTGAGGGCGCTAGAACACTCTTCCGGATCTATCTGGGCTGTGTGATAGGACCCACTTGCAAGAAGATTTTGTACTGGCGGTTGAACACGACCAGTAGCGGCCCCTTCAGAAACGTTGGAGTGTACAAAGTCATTTGATGGTTCCAAGTCGCTTGCTTGTGCCCGTATAGGCTCTCCAGGCAGAGTCTTTGTCTCCCCATTCGCGATGACGGATTCCTGCAGCAGGTTCAGCGATGTGGGGCTCAACGGCTCCGGGTTACTTTTGATGTCTTTCTGCTTATTGTCCAATAATTTCGAACCTAACTCCTCTCGATCTGGCGCAGTCTCGTGGATCACCTCCTTTATAGCGCCGCCTGCTCGATCGTATTGTCTTGCTTCGATAACAGTATCTCTGCTACTTTCCGATGTTACAGTTTCACTGGAGTGTAAATCGACGATAGCCCCAGATGTTGATTTAGGGGCCGCAATCGTGACAGCTTCTGCAGCAGGTGTGGATGTGGATAGTACACTTGTGGTGGGATGTTGATGAACTGAATCACGGTGAACGGTGAATGATGCCGATGCTCGATGTGAAAGACAAGTCACTGAATTGGTGACGACGGCTGGGGTCAGCGGAGCGGATACTGTGCCTGAACAAGATGCAGGGTCGGATGGACTGCCCAGAGCTCGTTTCTGAAGGTAGAAGTCAGAGAAAAGACGTAAAACAAGCAATACCGAACAGATGAGAACAGTGGGAAGCGATATTTTCTCCTTAAAACGGTTTTGTTCCACCGGTGCGTTATTATGAAAAGGATACTTTTAGCAAGGTCGCGCGTGGGCGGCTAACGGCAGGTTAATTGTAGTACGAAACGAATATGGAAATTTCGGACTTAGCACGGTCTGCGAACCGCTAAAAAGATATTTCGTTTTTAATCTCTTCGCTATTGTACAAATTACAATGTGCCACATAACGTAGTTTTTCACTAGGTTTTTAATATGTGCATAAGAAACTCAGGATCAGTTGCTTGTTGAGTTTAGACAGAGACAAGAATGGAAATTTTACGGTAACGTCGATTCTCCAGTGCACCGTAGGGAGCGTCACCGACCATGATTACGAAAATTGTCATCGTCTGATTTGACATAAATGACAGGAAAGCGCTTTAGAAAAACGTCGTAAATAATTTCATAGAATGAGCTTTCTAGCTGCAGTCCCCAGCGTTTGATTGAGGTCCCTTATGGACGACATTTAACACACTTGGGAGTAACCTGCACGAAAATGAACTATACTCGTAAGCAGTTAGATTGATGAGACAACAGCAGTGTTGGGCGACGTTCGCAGTCGAATCAATAGGGTTACTTCAACCAGGCATCTAAGTAACCCAATTGATGGACAGAGACTCAAGTTGGCTCGTCCAGCCTTCTTCGTTCAACGGTATCATTCGGTATCTAGATGTCAAGCCGCTCGAAAGAAGCACGGGGGCAGCAATACTGCCAGTCGAGACTGATCAAGTTCGTTGGGCTCATATGCGGTCTCCTAGCTGCTCCAGGGAGTCATATTTGTTGTTCCACTACAGTGGAACCTCGAACTTGTCGAGGAAAAAAAGTGTCAACCATACCCCAATCAAGGGTTGAAAAACAACGGGCGTAACTTCACATGAAGACTAAAATTGAGAAATCATTCAATGGTCAGGTTCACGTCCATAAGCGAGTTCCAAGTTCTCAGAAATGTCGGAGGTCGGTTTTTTATAAGACAACCGGGTGACCTAAGAAACGAACAACAAATCTTTCGATGAGTGGCTGGAAGCAGATCACTATGATTTCGCCAATTCCTCACTCTGAACAATAGAACCTTTAAGAGGCAGACAAAAGTTACAGCCTATCGGTGTTCGGTCTGGAAGACGACCATTTTACAATGCAACCTATCAAGAGCACCTGAACTCAAATCCTTTGACAAACACCAGAGTTTCAGCGCATCGGCTTTACCTCGTTAGTTGAAATTGCACAGGCTACGAGATTCGGGCAAGCTTTTCGCAGGCCCAACTAAAGAAAGCGGTTTTGTGGTGTAAATCCGAGAACAGCTATCATCAAGCCTTCGAGTAAGATCACTTGATTCTTCGCATCAGATAGTTTTGGTCATTCTCACTGGAAAGTACTGTGGAGGCTGACGTTGCTACCGAATTGTGGCAGTCAGGTCTTTGCACTGAAGTGACTCTGCAAGTCCTCACACTGCGTAAAATTGTCACCAGTCACTCTGGATTTTAAGTTAAACAGTTCATTGTGATGTGAAAAACGACGGTGCTTCCCTCAACCTAACAGCATATCCATCTTCATGGAAGGAAAGGTACCCCCTTCCTTTGAAGAGACAGGCTCTGAAAACCAAACACCGAATTACTGACAATTGACCGTGGACGCCTGCGTACTACTGAATACGGTTTAAATACTATTAGGACCAGGAGTTCCGTTCCGACTAAAAAGAACCTGATATGTACGGCCGCATCTGCGCCTTACTCTAGGAGTCTTCAGGTTATGTAGGATTTCCAATGACCTAAGGATGGGAATTCGCGGTCAAAGGCTCGGTATGAGGTGTATCAACAATGAAAAACCTCAGTGTCCTATGGATTACACCACCTGCCGGAATAAGGAAGTTATATGGTTCAGCTGTAACACCATTTGGGTGCCTACTACCCGCCCTAAGAAGCACGAAGGATGATATATTGTCAGGCTACGGAAGCATAGGTAGGAGCAATCGAGGTGCAGAGGTTGGGTTCAAACAACGGACCTTCTCGTCGATAAGTTCGCGCCATCTCGAGCTCAATGAAGCCATATATAATAACTGGAACCAGGAAGATGGTGAGCTAGCACTAAGTCCACATTTACTCTTTTCTTTACAATAAGGCTTTCAAATAAATCATGGTTGCACGGCAGTGAAGCATCGGTGTTGAACACTGATGTCATGCTGTCGATGATGATGATGATGAGATGAGAACTCTCCTGGGTGACTGAAAACAAATCTGGTGCGGTCTCAAACGTGTTTGTCAAGACTGGCGAGAACTCTTCGATAACCCGCTGCACGTTTTTCTCTTCGGAAGACTCATTATATAGGCAGTCACTGTGTTTCCACTGATCTTATCTGTCAGGATTTCTGCTCCATGTTCCCACGTCTGGCTTGTTTTATGGAGCAACTGTTGGGTCAAAGGGTGTGAGCAGTGTCCCTCTTTCCCACTGACTTGTGGATGAGGCTTTTGAGTCAAAGTATCCATATGGGGTACCCTCTTTGGTCTCGACAGCCGGAGGGTAACACTTGCTAAGCTCGGAAACGTCTAACTGTCCGACTCAAGTAATAGTCCCAACTAAATTCATTCCCCAAACATAGTTGATCCCTTTTGTCAGTAACAATTACCAGGTTTGTACTCAAGAAAATAAAGATAAAACATGGGCTGCCAAGATGTCTTTGATGTTTCCTATTGGTGCACGCCTAGAAAAATTTTCAAGAACAGCGACAGATAGAAAGGGCTGAAGCGGTAAATGAAAACATCCGCGTTACTCAAACCGAGTGGCAACATTGGTCATTAAGTTATCGCAGAAAAGGGTGGATTCACAATCCACACGAGGTCCCGTTTGCTAGGCGGTATTCTGCAGAATACTTTAGCTGATCTCTCGCAACCAGCTCTGCGGTTACAGCAAAACTGGTCAGCTCCCGTTGGGGATGAAGTTAACAACGAAATCTACCTCTTGAAAAGGACTAATGTTCAGTTTAGACCATCTTCCAGCTGTTCCGAGTGATGGACAGCACTGTGAAGCTACTAACAGGTATTCTGCGTACGTCCACTAACACTCATGAGAATCAATCTCGTGGAAACTAACCAGGGTTTCACCCCGGTCGCGGATGCACCAACCAAACCTTTACTCCCAGATTACTCTTAGATATAAAAGATGCAGTTAGACCTCAAGGCATCATTGAACTCAGTCAACCAGGCCTCTTCCTTTGAAAATACATGCCGGAAATTATAGTTCTTCTGTACTTGTATTATTCACCAGTGTGCCTAAAAATCCGTCGTGAATATCTGTTCATCATCGAAACGCAAAAGCTTAGTTTATTAAAAGCATCCCAAAGAGCTTCAAAAACTTATTCCAGCACATAAGAAGCCCTGTTACTCAGCGCAGCCTCAAGTAGAGGCCTTTGATTCTGAAGTAGTCTGTATGTTTGGGGGTGCGGGGAGCGTTTGATCCTGGTGTTGTTCTAAACAGTGTCGGCTAGTCTGTTTGTTTTTAGTGGATTTAACTGCCAAGGAGAAAATGAGGATGTATCCAAGCACTTGCCCCTGAAAAAAGTGATTGTTGGCGTGGAATTGGAGATACCTTGAAGTAACATCGAGTTTACCTTTCACCACCTTTGCATGCCGACAAGCGCAGACCGTCAAATTCGCGTCTCAGTCTTGTAGGACCTCACGTTCTCGTCCCGTCGCCAGTCATTCGACGTGTGAGGCCACTACTCTACTAGCGCAAGCTGGGCGCCTGTACGGCTGGGGATGTATAATGATGACGAGTTCTGGTAATAGCGAAACTCAAGCCTAGTGCTTCCGCGCTATGGTGAATGCCAACCAGAACATAGGCGGAACCACTCAAACGAAAGTAAGGTGGATGCAAATAACATGACTAATTCTCAATGAGCTACCGCAAGGTTAATACTGAGAAGTGGAATAATAACAAAGTTTTAGGTTTAATGAATGGAGTACCCTTGGTATTCATGTTAAGACCGTTAACGATATTTTGCATGTCTGCTGTCGAAATATATGCACTTCAACTCCAGCCCACGGTGATTTATCGTGCTTTAGTTGAATGATTGTCCTTGATTGTCCCTGCCACTTTCATCCTGTGAAGTCCAATCCAGCGTGTGTATGTTGACGATATAATGTTTGGATTCTACAACTTCATGCACATTTTTCCTTACGTCGAACTTCATTTGGTTTACACAGCCAAAAGTTTGTCTGACATTTGATACAACAAAAAATCCAAAGTGGATGCCTTTTCTCTATTTCTACCGGCTAGATAATCATGAGAAAGATATGATACGGTCACTAAATGCACCCAAAACATGCGCGCGGAACACCAAGTTGTAAGATGAACGCTCACCGATGTAGGTAATGATCGACTTCGATGAATTACAACTCGAAGATGAAGACCCACTGAACTCAGACTTTGACTCTCATTGTCTTTTGTTCGCGAGTCCATATTCACACATTAGAATGAGCGATCCCTAAAGTTTAAATTCCGCGGCATATTGACGCAGTTGGCGGCACGTGAGATCATGTGAATTAGGCATCTTCGCGACTGACAAGCGCATAGTGCATAGCATACTAAGAGGAAAATAGCAATATGGTCATCTAAAACGTGGTTTCGGGACAACACGAACAACTTTTCGCTTTCATGGAGGGGTTGCTGTGGGAAGCTTAATTCAGGGAAAGATTCATGCTCCATGAGTAAATTTCTTCATTTGAAATTACAACAGAATCAGACGATAGGAATGAAAACCTGTGAAAAATTGACAAGCGCGATGGAAATCAGGGGCTTAATCAAGTTCAATTATGGATTACGGTACCAATTTCAGCAATTCATAGAAGAGCCGAATGTGTCAGTTAACGCAAGACGCAATATCAATTGTGACAAACCTACTGGCCTCCGGAGGCTATACATATCCACTAGACAGGGCTGTTGAACAATTTCGAACAAATTCCAGCGTCAAAAGGATTCTCACTAGTTGCGGCAAGAACTTGTACAGTAGTCTCCTAGATGAGTGGAACACGTCAGGAAAGGAAAAATTTGGTGACTATCGTACATTTTCGAGCCCGGACCAGCCAAGTGGCTCCATTTTGGAAGCCATGCTATGGTCATTCGGTTGGATCCCCCTAGAGCATGTGTGCGGAAGTAACACATGATATTATATTTGGCTGGTAGCTCTTTTTGCGATCGGTTAAAGATCTACATCTAGTTATCGCATTTGAGCAACCAATACTTTGATATATTGCTAATCTCCGCGGTGACAAAATCCGTGAATGTCTGAACGATATCTAGAAACTATAACCCAGTCACCTAGCTTTGCCTCGCATGGCACATCGCAAGTGGTGGTGGCACTGAAGCCAATCATCACAATTGTGTCACCGTAGTTAGCATATGTTCATTGACGTGCTAACCAGCGCTGAAATACGCTCATTTTCAAATTACACTGATGTTAACAAAAGGCTCAAATGAATCTCTCATTTATGTTATTCTTTAACGGAATGCCTTGCACAAAGATCTTGTTTCAGCTGGCATAGTATTCAAAATATCGCAGTACTCATGAGGTTGAACAGTCTTCAGCAACCTTAATGCTGGTGTGTTAAGTTAACAGCCACAACAGGCTGTTCATAGTTTCGACAACAACGTCACTGGCTTACTGCCTTTGTTGACTGCAACATGAACAGTAAAACGTCTATTGTTACCTGTCTCGCAGACAAACTACATACATTCAATAGGATGCATGCTCCTGAGAGAACATCCATACGGTGTATGTACTGAGTGGTTTAGGAAAATTCCTTCGCTCTCGAGAGGACTAATGTAGACGGTTGGAAAAAGTACGGTGTCAAGTTTAGCCCACCATATATATCTTTTATCCTGCATAATCCGGACCTATCAGCTTCGATGGAACTGTTCTAATTATATCAAATGGGTCATGTAAATGGATACGTAAATTCAATAAAACTAAGCAAACTGAGACATTCGCAGGCATTTTAACAGAACACTAATACAAGCTACTCAAAACGGTTGGAAATTAGACACGGGTTTGGCGTTGAAAACAGCCCACCACAAATCTGCCAGACGTTTAGTGAACATCCCTACCCCCATTTGACAGGTTGTAACTTCAACTGTTCGAAAAAAATGGAATCCGCGAAATGTTGAATTTGATTTCTGCTTACCAATGCCTTTCCACGAGAGTCAGCTGACCAATGTGATTATGTTATCACGCGATACCTTTTAAACTACCCCTACTTCATTACTTGAGGACCGTATTATGCTGCCCCGGAAAGCGTACGTTTCCAGTTTGGAGAAAACACGTATAACTAACTAGATGATGAGGGTATGCGAGCTTCACTAAACACAACAGCAGGTTTCTATCAATTGATAACCACGCCTTCGTTTCAAATTTTCGTTGTACAGAGATGAGAGTAAGTTATGATATTAAACTTAGCAAGTAAATTTAATGAACACATCAAAGGTTGGACGTAAAAACATTCAAATGGCAGATAAGTGTGAAGGGGAGCTCAAGAAGTGCTTCGGATAGATCTCTCGTCTATGCTTTCCCTCAACTGGTGAAACTATTTCGACAGCTTGAAAAGTAGGCCAACCGGACCTTCAGACCGGCTTTGCGCTGCAGCTTCAGTTAAACGGCATCATTCAAAGTTTGTCTGAATCGCTGTTTCATACTAGTTGACTACGCAAATGAGTCATAAACTCAATGGAGGGAAAAGGCTGATTAATAACAGCAAGGCCAAATCAGAAAATGAGGTAATCCATTTCATGGCACTGTAAAAAATCCAAGGCCGTTGAAACAAGTAGAACAAATCAGAAATGAGAAGGTAATCCATTTCATGGCACTGTAAAAAATCCAAGGCCGTTGAAACAAGTAGAACTGAGTTGAAGCTATCAGACAGTATATGAACTTCCCCCACCTTATCCCACACTGCGTTTATACACCCTTGCCCCAAATGCAACGGTAGATGCAAGTGTGCCAGGCTTTCATCGACTGCGAGGCTCGTTCACTCGCAACAACTGTGAGACTGGCGTACGATTACGAATTAAATAGGTGGTCATGGCCTTCCGAGGGGAGGGGACAAGATCATTCATCCGGAAAACGACTGACTCTCTGGAATGCTGATTAAAGGTGAGACTATAAAAGGCTGAACTCTCAAGAGCAGTACTCTCATTTCAGAGGGTGCTACTGTACATCATTTAAGGCGGTTGTATATCCGTGCTAAATGATGAAAATGAGTGGCACCAGTTCTCAACGATTTCGACAAAAAATGTGTGAGATTCAGAATGCTATCCGTGGCCACCAAGATACGGCAAACATTTCTTGCTAAGATACCTTCACGCATGCGTTTGAGTCTGGAAAAATCTGAACCATGCGTTCGTATACTGGCTGTCGCACTGACAAGAATTGTAATGCAAGAAATTAGAATAGTGAAACTGATCCCACATAGTGATTTTATAAGAGCAGGTCAGATTATATATGCCATACGGATCTTAAATCATAAACACAAAACGCGACATTACGGGCTCTTCAGATGAAGAAAAAACAAGGGTAACCCACCTGACGGGCGTTTTTCAGCCAATCTGCGAAGCTCAACGGGACGCGATCACCAGTGGATGAAGTTGCTGTGGTGGTCAGAGATGTTGAAGTGCCTAGGTTGGACATCACATTCAAGGGGAGACCAGATGAAGCTGAATTCACAGAAGGGGGTATCGGATAGTAGATCGGATAACACAGCCAGTATGCTACTTGTGTAGCTTGTAGGCATTCAGCTGCACCGGGAGTCCACATGTATGTGGAAGTGGATGTGGGAGGGTTCGATGGCCCACTTGGACTAGGGACAGTACTGACGACTGAGGAGCAGTTAATACCCGAAGTTTCTGGCCCGGAATTGCTCGGAATGGCTGAGACAGATTGGGCTGTGTCCGGTTTTTTATCACCATCCTCCTTCAAGGTTGGCTCTTCAGGCTCCTCTGTTGGTTTCTGTCCATCCCCTGTCCCCTGTACAATAAAAAAGAAATCATGCGTCTTGGTCACAGCTGAACAATTCGTATAGTAGCCTCCCTCTTCAACAAAAAGTATCCCCTCTGGAGTAACGAACCTCACAGAAACTAAAAATTTTGACCGCAGATCTCTCTAAAAACCTTCATGAATGCAACAACAAAGTCCCCTAGTGGGGGACGGCTTCTAATTTTTTCGACACAGCAAAGTTGGAGTCTGCTGGCGGCGGCATAGCACACCGATTCATGCATATCCTCTTAAAACATGAAACTAACCAGTCGAGCCAACACGGTTATAGTTTGACTGACTTTTGTGGAGACAATAAGAGTCTAATCAGGTTGACAGGGACAAATACTAACAATAGCCGTTCAGCTGTAGTGCCCTTTCTATGCCTCAATGCCATGCCACCCGAAGAAAACACGAGGGCTGGGATATTGTCAGGTTGCTCAAGCCTAGACAAGCACAAAACATGACTGGAGAAGTAGGCTGTTTTCCCGCTTGAGTGAGTGCAAGTAGAAGGGTGTTTCAGAATTGCGTTTAGCTGTCAGGATGTCACACATGACTCCAGTTTGTGAAAATGCATCCTACATTGAGTGCCGCGTTGAAGGGGACGCATTCAGCTCCCAGAACAGCGGTCAGTTGCATGAGAGCTGCGTGCGAAGACGTAACTTCGCTTCATTTGATGAACAATCGACTCACTGTTCATCGCCCGCAGTGACTTACGTATCGCTGTTGAGCGACTGTGAAAATGGACCAGTCAGAGGACGAACATATCTGAAAATACAGTGAAGAATGAAATTATGGCGCATGAAGCTACTTGGATTCTAGTAAAAATCCGCGTTTTCGCATTCATGAACGAAGATTCCCCCCAGAGTGACGTGAGCTCTTTTTGGTCGATTTCCGGAAACACAAGACTCGGTCGCCTTAAGGCGTTCGTACTAGTGGCTGAGGTTGTTCACAGTGCTCAGTCAGTATGATTTCTAAGCCTTGGAGAGAACAGAGCCACTCGACCGAATAGAGACCAAGAATCTATCCACAATATTGCTCATGTGATTCGCGTTGGTTGAGCTCCCATACATAGTTGTTTAGTGGCAAGCTACGCACAGTACGCTTTGTTACAGATAGTGGACCATCATTTCGTAAAGTACATATAAGTGTGAGTTACGAAAGTCTTGTTAATATGCAACGGGATACTCATCGGCCTAGTTCCTAAAGCCGCACATAGCTTTGAAGTTAGACAATGGCAACAGTGTCCTCTACTGTGGAACAAGGTACCCGAAGTTGTTCGGTCGGTGATCACATTGCTTTCTGAGCTTGGTACTTTTGTTTCACACATTTCGTAGTAGCAGCATCAGTGTGTTTTGTGTAGCGTGGTGGTGCATCTGTTCCCAGATCCATTCTCTTTTTCCCATTATAAGGCTCTATTCAAATAAATTTGGCATGGTTGCACATCAATGAAACCCCAGTGTTTTCACACAGTACTGCCATCAATAGCCATATTGACGAAATCCATTTTCTTTTGTCAAATATTCTCTAGATCATCTCCCGCTGACTGGGATGGGATGCAACAATATTGCAGCAATTATCCCTGGGGGTGTTGTCTTTCAGAGATGTCAGTTGTTCTTGATGAAAAACAAGTATTCTTCCTGACATGAGCCAGTTAACCCATTTTAAAATAAAAGTCAACCACCATCCGAACGGTCTAACCACAAGTGTCCGTAGACGTGAACTTGCAGACCAGGAGGTCCGTACGTCTAACCCGACCTCTGCATCTCGACTTGTCTGTGCTTAGGCAATTTGGCAGTGCCCCAGCCCTCGTGCTTTCTTCGCACGGCATGACAGCTAGGCACCAAAGGAGTGCTACAACTGGACGGTTATTTTTGCAAAAATATACAGCAAAACATACTAGTTGCACAAAGACAGCCTAACTTTCGGAAGAGCCAACCAAAATTGAGTTATTCTGGAGTTTAGCCAAAGTGCTTAGCTGTAAACTTGACCTTTCTTCATTCAGTTATGTGGAAGTAAAAGCCCTTTCCATTGTAAAAACCTTCGTTAATTATCATTATTTGCCAATTTCTGATAAAACTCAACATTTCCACAGGAGGCACCGTTGCCACTTTTTAACCTAGCTGTGTTCCTAAGCTTATTCTCGTCACTTCAAAGTTATTCCGTCTATCCCTGTCCACGAGTCCTTTTCCCTCAATAAGTGAAATTCACTTGTGGTTTGTATTCGTATTGAAAATAATGGGGTTTTCCACTTTGGGTTAAACTGACTCGAAACATGAACGATACTTTATCACGGAACTGGTTCTCAAACGACGGCGGATCGTGTACCATTTTCGGTATATCTCTGGCGGTCATTCTTTCCCCCTCCCCACAACTGTTGCTGACCAGGATGATAACCGAAACAGCTCGAATTACTGCGGAGTTCAACAGAAGGAAACGCATAGTGCGCTACCGTCGAATTTTTCATCAGTCTTATACGGTCCGTTATTGTCGCTTCCCTGTAGATGCAAAGTAATTGTCTAGAAGAATTAAGCGCAGTAAGAATAGAATTATTTCACTCATTTTGAAAAGAATGTCAGTTGGTAATCACTTGCAGTTGGTTTTGCAAAGCCGTTCGTTGATCGATAGGACGAAAATATACTTAAGATCGATATGGAGTCCTACTAGCATTCGTTTGGAGTAGAGATAAATAAGCACTATTCACCTTAAAGAATACTTCTAAACCACCCAATCGATCGGTACTTCTTTGGATAGGCTGTAGTACACATAACCAGTTCAAAACACTCAAGTGATCACCTGTTCGACATACTTCTTTGATCATTAGGTCGCCGGACGCACCATAATAATGCAATCAATAGTTCTTAATGACCGCTTCTTTAATTAAAATGCAAAATACATGCCCCCTATAAGTCTCAAACGATACTTAGCCAAAAACAGAACCATCAGTCAGATTAATCAGGATCAACTACAGCACAAGCGCCAAAAGCCACCGGTCCACAACACTTCCTTGATTCTACTAGGCGTATGAGATTTTATCCGGCGTAATTTTAGAGATATCCAGGCAATATTCGGGTAGTGCAGATGTCGCCAAGGCAGTTCCAGAACTGTTTACACGTTTTGTCCGTAATTTTAACAATACAGAGAGAATGGAAAGAAAGCAAGCTTACAGTAATTGTAATCTGAGAGGCAGCCTCGGCAGCTTCTAGACACACAGATCGCGAGGCATCCGTTAGAGGACGTAATAGGTTGGATGTAGGCCCACATGAATCGCAGACGAACGACTGGGACCTGTAAATAGGAAACATGAACCACTAGTAACTGATGGGCAGGTTGGTGAAGAGGACAAACCTAGTGGTAATGCGATAGACTAGTGAAAATGTCACGACTACGGCTGAGTACGAGGATGCCACTCATCAACTGTACGGGTGACTTTTGAAATCGGTTCACCCTCCCAGTAGAGACAGTCTAACTTGTTGAGCGCTTCGCCTAGCTTCGAAAACATTTCGTCACCAATCACACTAATGCGAATGACCAATCTCGGTTTTGTTGGCCCCAAGGTGACCTGCGTTGCTTCATCTTTGATCTTGCTTGCACTCAATAGCACTTGCGTCACAGTCTGCTTCCTGATTGGCTGACGATGAAGATTGGTTGGTCGGTTTATAAAGCATCTTTCCAGATGGTTGTCCTTCCTTGGTTTATTCGGTTATTTAATTCGCCGGTCTTTATCCTATTTGATGTAGCGAGTTGTATATGCTAACCGAATCGATATGTCTACTGTTCTTGGATTTCCAAGTACATTTGTTTGTTTGTGTTTTTGTGTTTTCTTGAACAGCTCCGGAGTTGACGGTCCTGAAAGTCTTGTCCTTTGGGGTGAGCATATCAATTACCTGTTCGGCCGACCATTCATAAATTTGCGTCTTTTCTTTGCTCTTGCCTGGCCTAGTATGCAGACGTCTTTTCCAAACGTGCAGTACAACCATGAACTGCACACACACCAAACGAACTCGTGTTTCACTAGACTTCGTGAAATGGAACTGATGAGAATTGACTACGTGTTCTGGTTGCATGTTTGCGTTCTTTATTTCTGGCTGGTACCTTCCTCCTGTATCCCAAATTGTGGTCTTCACAATTCCTAAATTGAATTTTGGGCGACCTTTCCGCATTCCATCTGATTCATGGGTCATATGGCTGTAGGTCACATTGTAATGATGCAGCGGCCATTTTAGAAGTACTTTTGATGTATGGCTGTGTAATTTCTTCTTGTCTGCGGGTTGCTCAGTTGGGTGAATTGAATTTTTTAGAGGATTTCTAAATAGCATTTTTTACTTCCAAAAGCTTTATGGACGCGTTTCTCTTTTAGCTTGAATTCCATTATATTGGAGTGTCACGACTCGTTCGAACAGCGTCCCAAAGCAGCTCGTTTGTTAGCTGCGAAGGTTCATAACTTGGTTTGTTTGCGTCACTGTTCTGTATGCTTAAGCTAGAATCCACCCATTTTGTAGGCTGGCGACTAGAGCATCTGAAAATGTCATTTTGCAACCATATTATTCCTCCATCGTGATTTTGATGTCATCAAAAACGTTAAGTCTCCGCTAGACTGTCAACTTGTTTTAATAATGTATGACTCAAGAGTCATTGTTTGATATTACGATCTGGTAGCACAGTCCTCCATTTTTTACACTGAGAGTTCTAAATTTGGGAAACTCATTGGTGCTCCCCTCTTCAGATCATAACCAAAGGATACTCGAAGATATTTTCGCAAAGCATTTTGTTGCCTCATCCTCTAGATGGCGACACGCGATAGTGCTCTCGAGTAGAGATTTCGCTTTCTTTGTACTGTTTGATTTCTCGACCGTAAGACGTCCTTTCTAAACCGGCAGAATGACAACGAGTTCATCTCCATTCAACTTCAGCCTCTGCTTATTCGTTCCGGAAAAAGTTGGAAGCTCTGTTGTATCTGATAGCTGGTATGGTGGTTACGCAAATTTGTTGTTGGGCCTTGACGTCAAGGCCCATGCACTGCAGTAATACTTGCAGGCTAGCCCAGTGCTCCACATGTATTACTTGTCTGAAATTTAAGGTTGAGTCTTATCAAGCTGTTTTCTGGGAATAGTCTCGATCCAGGCCTCGTTGTTTATGCCTATCTTTTCATTTTTGTTTTCAACAGGCCTTGGAATCTTGTGCTCAGGACCAGTTTTCTTTTTTTTGAACAGTAAATTTAACTCTTCATCCGCTTGCGAAACCGAGCTATTGTAGGAGGCCTGGTCCTGTCTTTCTTAAACAGGTCGCCCTCTCTCCACTGGCGGGTCTCTCATTCGTCCTAATATAGTTGTGCACACCCGTGATCACCCACCGTTATTTATAACGGCAACTTAGGGCTTGCTTAACTGTGGTCGCCAGGTTACATTACGTGGAAGAACGCGTTTTCGCAAACCGGACGTTAGGAAATGTAACTTTCATGAGGCTACTGATCGACAGGCTGATTTCTCCTGTCGACTGTTTTCAGCACACAGTGACCAAAAGTGTTGGCAATCAAACGGGATACTGGTAGCTCGAGCGAAGTTATTTTCTTTTGATCTCCTGGAATGAAGAAATGCTTGAAATTCGATCGTCAAGCCATTAGATTAACAATCAACATACGCAGTTGAGCAATCGATAGTCTGACTAACCGCCATTAGGTACTCATACAAGAGGACTCTTCTTCCGAAACAAATCCCACACATGCGATAGAGAAAACAAAAAAAATAACCTGATGTAATTCTGGACGGATATCATATAAGGTAGCAGAAATATTGCTCCACAATATCTCATATTACCATTATTTATAAGGTTTCAGATCAGTGAACTGCAAAAGAAAGTGCATCACCATCATCGTCAGCTGTAAAAACCACGAACTTGTCGTGAAGTGGTTGTAGCTGCCACAGTTCGTTCACCGAAGATTTGGTTCGAACCCGACCTCTGCCTCTCGCCTTCCCTTGTCTAGGCTTGGGAAACCTGGCAGTATCCCAGTCCTCGTGCTTCCTTCGTGTGGCATGGCAGCTAGACAACTTAAGGATGCTACAGCTGAACCGATGATTTGGGGAGGTGGGGTAGATAGCTGCGCATTGGAGGCGGGAGCTGATAAATTGGTGTGTAAATACGGCACTGCCAGTGAACTGTCAAAACGGGAGGTTGGGAAGGGAGCTATAAACTGAAGGCAATATCTTGGATGCATGAGCGCCATTGAGGGCACGATTGGGTCGTCTGACAATGTCTCCAACCATTGATGTGGCCCGTTTCGGGGTCACCATCCAGGAAGACGATAATGACCAGTGCAGCTGAGTTTGCTGGTAATGGCTTTTATACTTCACTGCCAGGACATTGTTTGACTGCCTCTGGCTCGTTTCCACCCTTCGCGTTGTTGTGCGAGAAGAACCCTTCGAGGAAGTCGATCGACTGGCATACGCAGCACGTCGTCAAGCCAGCGCAACCTATGCAGTGTGATCAGTTCATCTATCGAGGGTGAGTTATTTCTCCCGAATACCATTCGACGTACTTCAGAATTGCTGATCCGGTGTTCCCACCAGATTCGGGCAATGCTCCGAAGACATCGAGTGAAAGACTTGACGTCCTCGGCACGCAGCGGCCAGTTTTCTGACCTGTATAGTGAAATGAAGCGCACCGCAGAACTGTAAACTCGACCCTTGACGGATAAGCTGATGCCACGCCCACGCCACAGGTGACACAGGTTCACAAAGGCTGTTCTGGCCTTCCCAATCCGGATGGAAATACCATCTTCTGTGAGACCGCCGGGACCGACACAGCTGCCCATGTAAACAAATTTGTCTACTAATTTAATCGGTTCATCCACAAGCATGAGGCTATGATTCGAGCCCACCTAGTCTTACAGTAGCACTCTACACTTTGCAGGTGTTAAGCGCATGTCGAACCGTGAGGCAGAATTATTTAGACTATTTAATATTGTTTGAATTACCACGAAATCAGATCCAAGAAGAACTATGTCGTCTGCGTACTCGATATCTGTGAGCGGACGCCCCGGGAGCACCTCGAACCATTAGAGGCTGGTAGTGGGTCTTCCATGGTCGTATCAATGATGAAGTTGTATAGTAAATTTGAAAGAGGACAGTCCTGTCTGACACCACCTAATGCGGTGAATTCAGGCAAAACCTTCACACGGCCGCGGCAGTTGGCCTACAGCGCCTTAAGGTGGGTTAGGAACTGATAGGGGACACCTTTGTTCCACAGACACTGTCATAGTGCCTGACGGTCCGCAGAGTCCAGGGAAGTTTTCAGATCAAGAAACACAACAATTGTTGGCTGCTGGAAGCAGTGCCGCTGTTCAAGATTCTGTCGAAGGGTGAAGATATGATCGACGCATCTTCTTGCAGGACGGAACCCAGCTTGGTTTCCACGGATCTCTCTCCCTCCGAAGAATAAGACCAGGGAGCACCTCCATGCTACAGCTAATAGGCTGATGCTGCGTCCCCATACCCCTTTTGAAGATGGGGATAACTGTCGACATGCTCCATTCTACAGGCACCTTCGTTCCATATTGCACCAGTAAGCTTTGTCAGATGGATCGCCAGGGATCCTCCACCTTATTTGAAGGAGGTTGGATACAGACCATCCGGTCCTGGTGCCCTCTCACGTTTAATAGACCTATTTCGTACCATATTTCTTCTTCCGAAGGGCGATTCAACGTTTATATTCCATTCGCCTGTATGCACTATCCCTACAGGCTGTGTTGCAGGAGGCCAGGTGAACTGCTGTTTGAAGTGTTCGGCCCATCTCTCACTTATCGTTTCGCTGACCGTTGCTTTCCTAGGGCCAGTCGATCGTATCAGTTGATATAGGGTATGGCTGTTTCCCGTAGCAAAAGCATTCTCCATCTCCCGAGCTTTCGATGTCCACCAGAGCCCTTGGTCTTTCCTTAAACTCTTCACTATTTGGCGTTTGAGGGATTTGTGTGCGCCATCGTACTCGTAGCCTGGTGGTATAGCTTTCCTGGCATCAACCATAGATAGCGATCTCGATGACATCCAGTAGTCTTGTGGTCGAATTGGAGAACTCGGGCAGATAGCACTGAACGCCGCTAACATGGCTCCTTTCACATTTCGCCACGCTTCATCCACATGCTCACTATCACCACACTAGTGGTAAATAATTGTTGGGCTATCTCAGATCAGTACTGTTGAGCTATCGTCGTTCTTCGAAGATAGTGGATTGGCATGCTTCTTGTCGACTTGCGAGGGCCTGAAGGGAAACGAACTGTCAAGCGTGCGCGCGCC